GGCTAGGTTTTCTTTTCTTTTTTTCACCAAGTCACTGAGCAAGTTTGGGATTTTCCTGTTGTAAGCTTTCTGAAACAGACTCCAGGCACCACCCAAACTCCAGAAGCACCTGGGCTTCAAATGACACAGGATTCAGTGGCCCTAGACTGACTGACTCTGACTCTGCCTTCAGGCAGCCCCCCATTACACGTAACTTTTCCTGAACCCCTGTGCAGCCAGCTCTTTTCATTTCCCTCCCTCCCTCCTTCCCTCCCTCCATAATCTCTCTCTCTCTCTCTCTCTCTCTCTCTCTCTCTCTCTCTCTCTTTCACACACACACACACACACACACACACACACACACACACACACTGTGAGTTAAATTAATATTTCTCCAATCTTAGAAACAAACTATAAATTAAAGTATGTTTCTGAGGAGAGTACTACAAGATATTATAAAGAACAATCACTGACAATTCAGGTCTTACAAAAACAAGGAAAAGAACTGCTGATTTTTCAAAGGCACCAACAGCTTTACTTTTTAAAGGGCTTACAGACAAACCTATATGGGGTGAGCAATGGTCTTTAACAATAGGAAAACTGCAGGCTTTAGGATAGCTGGTGCAAGAGCAACTAGATGCTCAGCATATTGAAGAATCAACCATCATTTGTAATTCTCATGACTTGTTGTTAAAAAGAAAAATGAGAATGGTAACATATCTAAGAGCTGCTAATAAGGTCATTCAGTCAATGGACTTTGTACAGTCTGGCACTCCTTTGCCTACTCTATTGCCTAAAGAGTGGCCTCTTATAGGCCATTTTAAAGACTTATTTTAAAATAAATTTAATTTAATTTAAAGGTTTATTTTAAAGATTATTTCTTCACTATACCTTTACAAGAAAAGGACAGCGAATAGCAGTGTATACTTACAATAGTCTCAGCCTATTAAAAGGTATCAATGGAATCTTCTCCCACAGAGAATATCAAATAGTTCTACCCTGAGCCAATATTTTGTAAGTTAGCCATTGGAAATGATATGAAAGCAATTTTCTGAACTGAGAGTTTACCACTAAAAGGGTGACATTTTGCTATCTGATTCAAATGTAGATACTTTAGAAAAAATGTTTGAAAAAACAAAAAAAAATTCTTGTTGGATATTACAAATTGCTCCTGACAAAACACAGTAAGGAGATTATATTAATTATTTAGGCTATAGGATATAAAATAGTTTTATAAAACATTAGACCCAAAAAGGTACAAATTAGAAGAGATCAATTGCATATTCTTAATGACTTCCAAAGAATGCAAGGAAGGATATCTGCAATGGGATAGGTCCTGATGACCTGATTAATTGAAACAAAACCTTATAAGGTGACAAGATAGATTTTTGAATCTATTATGAAAAAAAGGAGGATATAAATTTGAAAAATAAAAGATGGATAATTGAATCTGCATTTAAAAAGCAACTACTAGTTTTTAATATTTTACTTTAGATTGGACTTTTGTAAAGTTTATAAATTACATGTTGATGCAGATTTGAGATAAAATTTGTTAAAGCATACTGTATATGTGTTTCTAATATTGTTCAACATATTATACATACAGAGCTCATTTAACAATGTAATACAAATTTCTAGTCCTTGAAAGTTATTGTTAGCTACTGTTTAGAATAATAAGGAAATATAGGTTACTCTTTAGTCACATATTACAATTGAACTTCAAGTCATATTAGGTGTTTTCAAGGTCAAACAGAGATATATTTTAAATAGACAGATCATCTTCAGACACTTTAGATGTCTAAAGAATATGGCATTTAAGAAGTTTTAATAACAACAGTTATTATTTTTTATGATGATGGGTCATGCTTGTTCTTGGCAGCACTAATTTACTTCCAGAAGATAATGGGCATTGACAAAACTCCACATGTTTGATTTCTTTGTGGCAAAAGTAAGACACTGGGCAAGAAAGTGCCCTTGCCTCAACTGCTGACAGTATGTTGTCCTAACATGACAAGCAGGACACAAAAGTGAGTGACTGTTTAATTTTGTTCAGATAAGATGGGACAGTCCTTCAAAAGCCCTGCTGATTGATAAAAACGTCTGTAAGATATTGTAGGCCTGTAGACAAGAGATGGATGCCCCACTGTTGCAGAAGAACTTTGGGTAACTGTCCAAAAAGCCAGCTGTTTCTGTCATTTCTCACATTTTTTAGAAGTTGCTTGCTTGCACTTCCTGCTTATTCAGGCAATAATATTTCCTTCTTGTGTTTCTGAAGGAGTTGAAGACTGGATACTTATAGTTTTCTTTCTTTATCTGATGCAGAAAGCAAGTTATGATAGAAAGTAAACTAGGTACAAGATTTTGAACTCACCAAGATAGGATAAATATGGAGTATTTTCTCTGAATTTGTCAAATGCAAATGGAATAAACATTGTTGATGTATCTTTTGCCTGTATATATTGCATATAGTTATTGTACTTATTGTATAGTCTTTCTTATATTTGTTATAGCCTTTTTATTTTAGACAAAAAAGGGGAATGAGGTGATATTTCATTTGTATTTTAATAAATAAAGGCTGCCTGAAGGTCAGTGCAAAGCAGCCACACTAGTCAGTCATATAGGCCAGACACTGGTTACACACACCTTTAATCCCAGCAGACAAACTAGTTAGCCATAGAGACTGAGCAATGCTGGCTCAAGCCTTTCATACCAGCAATTCCACTCTTGGGAATATACCCAAGAGATGCCCTATCATACTACAAAAGCATTTGTTCAACTATGTTCATAGCTGCAATATTTGTAATAGCCAGAACCTGGAAACAACCTAGGTGCCCCTCAATAGAAGAATGGTTAAAGAAGGTGTGGAACATAAATACATTCGAGTTTTACTCAGCGGTAAAAAACAATGACATCTTGAATTTTGCATGGAAATGAATGGAAATAGAAAACGCTTTACTGAGTGAGGTAACCCAGACCCAAAAGAGGAATATGGTATGTACTCACTCATAAGTGGATTCTAGCCATAATTAAAGGTCTTTGAGCCTATAATTTGTGATCCTAGAGAAGCTAAATAAGAAGTTGAAGCTGAAGAAAATCATATAGTTATCCTCCTGGATATTGGAAGTAGACAAGATTGCCAGACAAACTTGGGTGCACGGGGAGTGGGGGGGGTGGAAGCAAGGGGAGATGGTTAGGGAGAGGGGAGAGGGGGAGGATTGGGGATAGCTTGGGGAAATGGGATGGGGGGAGGGAGGAAGGATGGATATGGGAGCAGGGAGGTATATATCTCAACTAAGGGAGCCATTTTAGGGTTTGCAAGAGCCTTGATTCTAGAGGGGTTCTCAGGTCCAAGGAGAGGTCCTCAGATTGTTCCCTGGGCAGCAGAGGAGAGGGTGCCTGAACTGGCCTTGGCCCATAACCATACTGATGAATATTTTGCATATCACCATAGAACCTTCATCTGGCAATGGATGGACACACATTGGAACACTGGACTTAACTCCCTAGGTCCAAATGAGAAGCAGAAGGGAGAACGTGAGCAAGGAAGGCGGGATCAGAGGGAACCTCCATCCGAAGATAAATGGAGACAGAGACAGAGACCCACATTGGAGCACTGGACTGAGCCCCCAAGGTCCAAATGAGGAACAGAAGGAGGGAGAACATGAACAAGGAAGTCAGGACTGCGAGGGGTGCGTTCACCTACTGATACAAGGGGACTGATTGAATGATAGCTCACCAAGGCCAGCTGGACTGGGACTGAACGAGCATGTGATCAAACCAGATCCTCTGAATGTGGCTGGCACGGGGGCTGACGGAGAAGTCATTGACAATGGCACTGGGACTTGTTTCCTCTGCATGTACTGGCTTTTTGGGATCCTAGTCGGTTTGGATGCTCACCTTTCTAGACCTGGAGGGTGTGGGGAGGAACTTGAACTTCCCACAGGGCAGGAAACCCTGACTGCTCTTAGGACTGGAGAGGGAATGGGGAGAGTGGAAGGGTATTGGGAGGAGGGGAGGAAGTGGAAATTTTTATAAATAAATAAATAAGTAAATTAAAAAAAAAATAAAAAATACAGCAAAAAAATTTTTATTATGTAGGAGTGTGCATATGTCACTGCCCAAGTTTAGAAATAAAAGAAAAAACTTTAGGAGCAATATGGATCACCCAGAGATGGAACACATATCATCAGGCTTATCAGCAACTAACTTTAATGAATGAGGAAATTCTTTGACATTCAATGGTGGTTTTTGAGAAAATGTTATAAACAAATGTTTAGTCCCCAGGATAAACAAATTAAAACGATGTATGATCATATAAATATTTCCCTATGCAAACAGGATTTATGCTTCAAATTGTACTGTGTTCCTCTAGCCTTGTATAAAATTAAGTTTACATGCTGAAAAGACAATAGTTTACTACTACAATATTCCTAATAATCTTATTTGAACACCAGTGAGATGGTTCCATGAGAAAGGTCTGTGGTGTGCAAGGATGGAAAACTGACCTTGATCATCATATTAAGTGGACCAAAAGTAGAAACAGCAAAGTTGTCTTCTGGTCTCCACATATCTGCATTTGTCCTACAAACCCATAATCACACTATACAAATACCATAAATCTTTGTTACAAAATAAATCTTAGTGCCATTACATTATCTGGCATCTCTGGATAATTTCCTGAGAAGCAGTTCTTCAAGATAAAATGCCGAATGGTTAACTAATGGGGACAGGGGAAGCATGGAACATATGTGTGAACACACACATAAAACATCAAGCTACGGTATAAGATATACACTTGAATGTTGATTATCCTACTTTATTACATCTCTACTAGATAAATGAAAATAGGGTTTTAAATACAAATGAGATTATTAATGTTTCTTATATTCTCTTCTATTAAGCATTTTAACATTAACATTGTTACATTGTGTTGATAAAACAGCACATGTTGGGAGTATATCATCTACTCTTAAACTTGTACTCAGACAGAGGGAAAGTGGAATCTACACCTCCGTCCGTGGTAGCAACTGGAGAACTGCAGGAGACAATCTTTCTAGACTCGGCGCAGGCGGAGGGAGTGCTTGCAGGGGGTTGGCCTGGTGCAATCCGCACCGTGGGGACGCTGCTGTGCGTGGAAGCTACTGCCCAGAAGAGAAAATGTTTGGTTTTCACAAGCCAAAGATGTACCGAAGTATAGAGGGCTGCTGTATCTGCAGAGCCAAGTCCTCCAGTTCTCGGTTCACGGACAGTAAACGCTAGGAGAAGGACTTCCAGAGTTGTTTTGGTTGAGACTCGCTCAGGAGACATCTGCAATGCCTGTGTGCTGCTCGTGAAAAGATGGAAGAAGTTGCTGGCGGAATCCAAAAAAAAACTGGAATCACGTGGTAGATGCAAGGGCAGGACCCAGTCTGAAGACAACGTTGAAACCAAAGAAAGTAAAAACTCTGTCTGGAAACAGGATGAAAAGCAACCAGATCAGTAAACTGCAGAAGGAGTTTAAACGCCACAATTCGGATGCTCACAGAACCACCTCAAGTGCCTCCCCTGCCCAGTCTCCCTGCTACAGTAACCAGTCAGACGACGGCTCAGATACAGAGATGGCGTCCAACTCTAATAGGACTCCAGTGTTTTCCTTCTTAGATCTTACCTACTGGAAAAGACAGAAGATCTGCTGTGGGATCATCTACAAGGGCCGCTTTGGGGAGGTCCTCATTGACACGCATCTCTTCAAGCCTTGCTGCAGCAGTAAGAAGGCAGCTGCTGAGAAGCCCGAGGAGCAGGGGCCGGCGCCTCTGCCCATCTCCACTCAGGAGTGGTGACTGAGGTTCATGTAGAAGGGAACAAAGAGCGATTTTAAACTTTGAAAAGACCACAAAGCAACAAATCGACCCTCCTATTTTTAACTTGGATACCTGCTATTCTGCCAAAAGACATTTTTCTAGAATAGTTTCATGGGTTACCCATCCCCTCATCCAACAAACTTTGAAGCCAGTTTCTTCTAGCTTACTACAAGAAAGAAGTGTACATAATATTTAAGAGGCTGGGTATTTCATAGGAAAGCTGAATGCTGCTGTAAAGTGCTCTTTAAAGTCTTTTTTTTTAATCCCCTCTAATGAATGGAAATAGGGGAATTTCAGGGGACAGAGATGGGATTTGTGTGTGATAAATAAACCATATGTAGTTTAGTCTTTCTGTGGAGAGGCAGTGGTTGGGGCATTTTTAAATGGCTGGCTACACTTGTTTTCCCTCATGATGATTTGTCATAACTCAGTAGCACGACCTGCCCCCTAGAGGTAGTTAAGAATTTTTAAATGCTAAGGTGTTGCCAAGGCTCTGATGATTCAGACCTGTACTACTGATGATTAAGCAGGACAGACTGAGCTTTCTGCAAATAGCTTGAAGGAGGAAGCAATCTCTGAACACACAGGCAGCACCGAGTCACCTCCCCTCGTCATATTTGATAAAAAGACTTTATGTGAATCTTAGAAAACAGAACCAGAGCTCCTTCTGGGGAAGGCCAGCCTGTAGGATGAGCAAGGTCCTATAGGGATAGTACCAAAGCATCACCATGCGGTAGAGAACACGGGGTCATAAACTACTTAAACAGAATGTGTAAGTCCTGAGGATGCGTGGGGCACAGTTGATGCTGCTTGGGGCACATTTCTTAGAGGGCTTGCAGTGTGTAAACAATTGACATTGGTGTTACACAACTGTCTGGGATTCACTGAAATCCACACGATTCAGTTCTAGCTCTGGATTACCTCAGTTGACCTTTTGTGGAGGTTTTTTTTTATCTATAGAGTAGCTGTTTGCCTTGTCATAACTATTAGGGTTTTGGGTTTTGTCTTATTGTTTTTTCTCTCTATATTTAAAGTTTCATTAGAAGAAAGGAGTTGTGTGTTGAGGCTAAGTTGTTTGGTTGGATTGGGTCGGCTTCTTGGAGTTGGGCTTCTGAACATCAAGATAGCTGAATGGAGCTCCTCATGTGGAGATCTCAGTGAGGGCTTCTCAGTTGAGCCAGACTGAAAGTTGTACGATCGACTCTTTTCAGAGATCAGGAAAAATAGTGCCATTTCAGACCTCTCCTAGAAGGAGAGGTGTGTGGCTGCCTTAGTATTCTGTCGCTCATGGTTATTTTAAAAACTGGATTTTTAAAAGTCTATTGATGTTTCACAACGGGGAGGGCCACAGTTTGTGGCATCCTATAGTTTTATAGTTTTACATTTTGTGTGTCTCTTCCTTTTTGGAAAAACCTACCTAGTACAAGCCACCGCATGCACAGACTGCCCAGTGAGTGGGTTGGTTCTCCACAGCCCTTGGTGTAGTACAGAGTCCAGCCGTTACCATTCTCCCATGGTGCTTTGACGTGGGATGTTTCTTTTGTACATTTTGGCTGCAGTATTGGTGGTAGAATATACTTTGATGGATCATCTCTACTTCTGTATTTATTTATTTATTACTAGACCTCAACCACAGTCTTCTCCCTCCACTCTCTGCCGTAGGATGTACTGTATGTAGTCATGCACTTTGTATTAATATATTAGAAATCTACAGATCTGTTTTGTACTTTTTATACTGTTGGATACTTATAATCAAAACTTTTACTCTAGGGTATTGAATAAATTTAGTCTTACTAGAAAAAAAAAAACTTGTACTCAGAAGGTCGACACATGGGGATCATGAGTTCAAATGTATCCCTGAATTATTACTAACATCTAAGCAAAACTGAGTAACAAACAAGAAAATCTCAAGGAAATTTGAAAATTTGTGGAAATATGAAAAACAAAACAAAACCAGGAGCAACAACCCACCACTATTTCATAGACACTCTTACTTGAAAAGTATGATCACATGCTGCCTGATATTTAAACAAACAATTTTAAATATTTAAACAACCCCACTTGGATGATGGGGTTACCATTATACACATTATAGTAGAAAAATACCTATCACTAAGTAAAAACACAATAGATTAACAAAGTCACAGAAGAAATATAAGGACCACAAAATAAACTTCACTAAATGGAATTGTCGCACATGTAGCACACTTTACTATCTACCTCAATTTTTTTTCCTATTATTAATCAATAGCAATTCAGTATTGAATCGCTGGTCGATCGCTAGCAGTGCCAAAGGGATTCGAACCCACGTCCTCTGGCACTAGAGCGGAGCATTAGGCGCTCCTAGCCGCTGAGCCAAGGCTCAAGCTGCTCTACCTCAAATGTTTTAAAATAGAAACCACAATGCAGTGATCTCTACCATCAGTCTTCAGTGAGTATGGTAAATAATGTACTTCCTTCAGGGCTATGATAAGAAAAATAAATGAAACATTATTTTTTTTTCTTGAAGCTAAAGACAACTGTGATGTCTAAAGTCTTTACAAAATCATTTTCAGGAATAGAGTTTTCTTCTGTGTGAGTTTATCCCTATTTCCTGACTTTGATAGATACAAATAGGCTTCAAAATATTTAGAGCACTAAAAACATGGCTGGGCAGTTATGAAATGTCCACTCCCTGGACCAAGGTCTGATTTTTGCCACAGATTTCCCCTTACAGTTACACTGGGATTTTAGGTTGGTCAGCTGACACAGGTTTCTAAAAGTGTTTTATTTTTCTGTATGTTAGAATAATGTGACCTTAGTAAAATACAATGTACAGTTTCAATGCAATGCCCATCAAAATTCCAGCAAATTTAATTATAGACCTCAAAAAGATCAGTAATCAATAATCAACTTTACATGGAAAAGCAAAAGAAAAAAAACCTAGCAGCATCAATCTACTTCAAGAGGAAGATGGGCATCAAAGAGGCTCATTATGGAGCTTGTTAGCCATTTGGGCAAGAAACTGCTCTTGCCTAAACTGTTTCACTGGACTTGCAGGACTCAAAGAAAAATGACTGCTGAATCTGCATAAAGAAGGTGAGACAGTCCTTAGGGTTCCTGCTTCACGAAAGAGTCTGTAAGACATTCTGCAGGACACAGAAAAAAAGTAACTGACAAACTGACAACATAGATGGAACTGTCTTTGAGGTTTCCTGCTTCATGAAAAAAGTGTGCCAGATACTATGGGCCTGTAGGCTGAAGATGGATGTCCCAATGGTACAAAAGAACTTTGGGTGACTGTCCAGGCAGTAAGATGTCTCTGTCAATTCTAGAGTTTTGGAAGTTGCTTACAATGCACTTCCTGTTTACTTAGGTAATATTATATCCTTCTGGAGTTTTTGATGGAGTTGAAGAATTTATAGTTATAGTTATTGTTTTCCTTAGTTATGGTAAAAGATAAAGTAGATATAAATATTGTAACTGTAATTCTTGCTTGATAACTTTTTGTTTTGTATAATTTTACTATGTTAAAGTTAAAGCCTTCTTTTTATTTAAACGGAAAGGGGGAGATGATGTGGGATTTCCCTCTATATGCTTGAATACCATTAATGAATAAAGAAACTTCCTTGCCATGTTGATAGGGCAGAACTTAGGTAGGCAGGGAAGATTGGACTGAATGCTGGGAGAAAGAAGGGCAGAGTCAGAGAAGCCATGGATCCTCCACCTGAGAAGAAAGCTGGTTAGAATCTTGCCAGTAAGCCACAGCCATGTGGTGATACACAGATTAATGGAGATGGGTTAAATTAAGATGTAAGAGTTAGCCAATAAGAAGTTAGAGCTAATGGGCTAAGCAGTGATTTAATTAATAAAGTTTCTGTGTGATGCAGCTCTCTGCAACACAGGATTATCAACTATCAACTTGAAGAGTGATACTTTTTGTTGTTGTTTCAAGACAGGGTTTCTCTGTAGCTTTGGAGCCTGTCCTGGAACCAGTTCTTGTAGACCAGTCTGGCCTTGAATTCACAGAGATCCACCTGCCTCTGCCTCCAGAGCTCTGGGATTAAAGGCATGCACCACCACCTGGCAAAGAGTAAAACTCAGAATGTCCAATATTGCTCATACCTAGTCTCACATCAAAGTCTGCCTAGTTTACCTGTAGCAACTCTCATATTGATACCTCTGTATCTTGCTAAAATAACCACCTTACTGTTCCTGCTGGACCTTGTCCCACTTTCTCCTCCATTATTTCACTTTTCACTGGTCTTAATTACTCAAAGCCTTTCCAACCCCTTGCTTTGTACTTCACAGGACTATGTCATGTCTCTCTAATCTCTTTTCTCACTAGTTTTTAGCCAAACTTACATCTCCTAAAATTCCACCACTCTCTAAAACACACACACACAGTTGATAAATGACAGAGGCAGGATTATGCCTGAGTCTCTATTCTGTGTACATTCACCTATTCCTGTATCTCTACTGTGCCACCTATGGAGATGCTACCTATGAAGAAATATGTTATAGGAATGGGTTATATGGAGAAGAAAGAAAAGAAAAGAGGAAGTTAAAAGTCATCTTCACTACACAGCAAGTTCAGGACAACCCTGGAACGCATGAGATTCTGTCTCAAAAAAAAAATGACAATGACAACAACAACAACAAAAAACAGCATCTAAGTAGTTCAACAGGGGCATACTGCCAAAATTCATCCCTGGACTAAATGCTGAGGATGCAAAGATTAAGATACTACTTGTTCCTAGGAGCTCACAGTCTATAAAAGATGTTAAGAATTTATATTCTGACTATTTCCTTTCAGCATCTAGCAAAGGATTTATAAATCTAACCTCTAACCTCAATTTTCAAAGTTGATTGGCTCTATGTAAATCACTCTTATATTCAATTGCCTAACAATAACTGAGAATAGCTGTCTTCCATTGTGACTAGTATGTGCAATATATTATGCTCAGTTCATCATTTAACCATGAAATTGTCTCTTTAAATAATCTTACGTTGTTGGGGTTCTCCAGAGAAATAAACAAACATAAAGAGGATATGTGTGTACAGACATATGTATATATACATAAATGTGTACCTATACATCTGTATACATATTTGTCATCCACCTATTGAGATTTTTATTGTAAGGAATGATCTCATATTATTACGGAAACTGAGAAGTCCTAAGATCTGCAGAGTGAATTGGCAAGCTGGAGACCCAGTAGAGTCTGAAGGCCTGAGAGCCATGAGAATTGATAACTGTGGTTATGCTATGAAGGTTGGCAAGCACCAGAACTAGAAAGGTCTGATATTTCAGTCTGAGTTGGATGGCAAGAAACAAGTAATATCCTATGTCAAAGGACATCAAGTAGTTAAAATTCTGTTTGGAGGAAGACCAGCATTTTGGTTGTTCTATTTAGGCTTTCAACTGATTGGATGAGGCCCACTTACATTAGGAAGGGAAATTTGCTTACTTATTCTACTCATTTAAATGTTAACTGTATCCCAAAACATCATAGCAGAAACACACAGAATAATGTTTCACCAAGTATCTGTTGGCCACATTGCTCAGTAAAGTCGGCACATAAAATTGACTGTTATAATTTCGTTGTCTTCTGCACCAGATGGGAGAAACAGATTTATCTACACAGCTGTTGGTATTTCACCCTAGGAAGCATAGAGGAAACTGGATCTTGGAAGGAATGCGGACAATAAACCACACTATTACTGAAGCTTAATTCATATTAACTATATTTTCTTATATATTTACCATTTAACAAAGGTTATTTTTTGAGACAGGATTTCTCTGTATAGCCCTGGCTGTTCTGGAACTCGTGTCATAGACCAGGCTGTCCTCAAACTCACAGAGATCCACATAGCTCTGCCTTCTTTGTGCAGGGATTAAAGGCCAGGATTATATTTTTATTTATGTGCATGTGTGTCTGTGTAAGTATGTACATGTGAGTGTAGGTACCCGAGGATGCCAGAG